GCAGGTGCTGTCTACTTCTACTTTGTCCTGCCAGAAACCAAAAACAGAACCCAGGCAGAAATCAGCCAGGCCTTCGCCAAAAGGAACAAGGCATCCCCACCAGAGGAGAAAATTGACCCGGTGGTGACCGACGATAAGGCCAATGGAAAAGCCAAACCAGACTCTGCCTGCACACTGGACAATGATACCAAAAGCAGGATTGTCTAAATGGATGCTCTCGCCGGTTCAGGAAGCCGAACATGCCCCTCTTTGTGGAAGGTTCGGACTGATTGGAGCTGTGTACGCCTTACATTATCCAGTATTTTATAAAAAATAAATGCACACATGCTAATCCGACATCATCACTAGTTGGCCTTTATTTATAGCTGATGCCCCCAAATGCTTCTGGGAACTGGCTAGATGTGCCCCATTTTTCAGGAGACCGTGCTTCTGTATAGATCGATGGCGGGCTGACTTCATGACTGAACCTCTAGTTTGAAAATGAAATTGGACGAATAGTATGTGAGTACTTTCTCAAAGGAAAACAACCTGTCTTGGTTGACTCAGTGGACTGGGAGTCACAGCTGAGGTTCCAGCCCTGGATCTGCCACCAAGCATCCTTGAGCTGCCCCCAAATGGGCTCCTGAAGCCCCCGTGGAGCCTCAGCTTTTGTCCTAGATGATAGCATTTGGTGGAAAGACTCCGTGCCTCCTAACAAGTACCTGTTACCAAACTTCTGCTCTGCCATGGGAGAGCCCAATACCAACCCGCCATCCTCCAAGTTATGCCTTTTCCAGGTTATGTCCCATGGGACTCAAGTCTTCTAGCTCCTAAGCTTTCTCCAGCTAAGAGGATTAGACTTATGTGTGGTCCCATGAAGCATCATAAGTATCGATAGGTGGAAGAACCAGAAAAGCATATGTAGAACTTTCCAGTAACTCGGACAGGGACTGCAATTTGAACTCTGTTCTGTCAAAAGCAAATTCAAGAATGACTCAGGCCAAGTCTAAGCTTGGTTGGCACGGACTCTGTCATCGGTAGCCATGTCTGTCACAGGTCCAGGAGTGAGAATGTCAACGCATGTACCTCATGGTTGCCAAACCTGGAAGAGATTTGCCCGAAAATGTAACAAGCTGCCTTTTAAGTTGCTGAGTAAACCATCCTTCAAGGGACCAGGCCTGGACGATCAACTATGGAAACTGTTGGTAAGGAAAGTCAACCATTCACTTTGATTCGGAAGAAAGTTAGACAAGACAACGTTTAAAGTTCTTCACGTACTACCTGTGTTTGGGTTGGAAGAGCTTGCAGCCTGTCACTGTAATGGATCCATCCCACGTGGTTGGGAGATCCCAATATGTGACCTCCAGAACAAAGCAAACTCCACGTGCCCATACGTCAATGAAAGCACAGGTGAACTATCACCGGTGTGTTGTAATTTAGTACGTCACAACAGGAGTGGGGCCAGAGGGAAAGGTCCTAGAGCTAGCTCTCTGCTCATTCTTGACAAAACACCACCACCAATGAAAGCAACACCTTGGTTCTGATTACCTGTAACTCTTGGCCATTCTTTCATCACTGGGCCTGCCTTTCACTGACTGCCAAACTCCATCAGCCAGCTTCTGTTTGGCTGGACCACATGGACAGTGTTTCTCAATCTATCCAACCCAACGTGATGTTGGGTGCAAGAAGGGTCTGACCGGGAGCAGGGAAGAGATGACTGAGGTAGATCAAAATGATACACTGACTAGATCAGGGAACCCCTCGTCACATAGCCTCCCTTCTAACACACCTTGGGCTTGATCTGGTTTTTAATATTTTCTGTGGGTTTATTGTTCATATTGGGGTTTATCTCTGTTGTACTGCATCATTGTTGGTAGCCTTCTTGGCTCCTTGTTATGCGGTTTTCTACTTTTTTTGTTAAATGAAACCAAGGGTAGCTGAACCTTAGTGACAACAACTAGAATAAACTTTCCCAGAGAGGTTACAGCAAGGGGGTGGGGTGGGGAGGGGAAATGATATCAAAGACTTTAAGGTGGAAGACAATTTTCTGAAACAAATTTTGGTAGCAATGGTACATCACTAAGTGCTATGATTGAACTATGAAATGGTGTGGTGTCTAGATTAGCGCCTAATAAAAGAGTTTAGGAAAAGAAAACATAATCCACAGCCCCCCAAATAAAAAGAATAAACGTTTGGTAGAATCCCCCAGTAAAAATAGTAATAATAATAAATTAACAAATAAATAGGATTATGGATGGAAAATTTTTTTTCTTTTTTTTTTAAATCATTTTATTAGGGCTCATATGACTCATCACAATCCACACATACATCATTGTGTAAAGCACATTTGGACATTCATCGCCCTCATCATTCTCAAAACATTTGCTCTCCACTTAAGCCCC